TTCCCTTCAATCCTAATCTGGATTTTCTGTTGTCTTTGGAAAAGAATCTTTAAGGACATCAATTTTACATGCCTGTGCATACCAATTAAAAAATGTATTCGATTGTTTTCATTTGGGTCCTGGTTCTTTGTTAAGTACTCCTCATAGAGACAATTTTCTTCAAATTAAAACTTCCCCCTGAAGTCACATCAATATTGGATTTATTTATTCATTTATTTGTTTACATGATTTTGTGGTTCTGGGGATGGAACCCAGGCTCTTCCACATGCTAGGCAAGTGGTCTACAACTGAGCTATGTCCCCAGGCCCTCAGTTAATTTTTATGAAGTTCACTCATTTCTGTAGAAAAGCATGGGTTCTGGGTTCCTAGATTGTACAGGTGAAATTGGCTAGTATTCCAGAAGTGGATCTAGACTCTTTTGATGCAGATGCACAAAGGAATGTGCACCTTTTAGTAGCACTCCAGGGAGTAGAACCCAGTCTCCTTCTGACACAGCCACCCTTAAACACCCAGTCCTGTTTTTCATGACATCCTACAGTCATGTGCTCTCTCACAGCACACATGAACCTAGAGTCAAAAGATGAGGAGCTCAAAGAGGAATCTGGGTGCTTTATCCCCAGAGCTGTGTGAGGACACATGGACCTCGCAATCCTTATATAATTCAAGGAGTCTAGACACACCAGAATATCTTCAAGCCCCTTTTTGGTCATGAAGATCCTTAAAAGAACAAATGATGACAAATCTCATACTGCAGATCTCCCTTGCCTTTATTTGATCCTAAATCCAGCAGCAGTGCAGAATGAATGCTGTTGAACTTTCCACCTGCCCCATGTGCAAGCTAGACTTAGAGCCCTAGAAAAGCAAGTGCCATAAATAGTGGTGAAGCACAAAGATCGCTGTGTTGGGGCCAGATGGGCTGGCTGTGCTTGGCTGGGACTCTGCTACCTGTTTCTAGATGGAGCTGCAGTCTGCTTACACATCAAATTAGGTTCCCATTCACTATGTGTGGAGAAGACTTAAGGTTCAAATTAAAACATACACAGGCAGCCTTAAGAAACTTCAAATAAAAATTGGGTGACTTCCTTCTCCTCAGATGGGCAGCTAAGGCTAAGGTCACTGCACAACCCCACCTGCATGAGTCCTCAGCAGGAGCCGTCACTTGGGGGATCATGGTCTCACACCAGGCAGCAAGTCAGGGTCACACATTTCCCCAGAGCTACCCTATCCTTACTCATCCTCTCACAATCTGCTGATTAAAGAGGCCATCTTGTGTCCCTGGGTAGGGAGAGACTGGAAGTGTTCGAGGAAGATCCGTCAGTCATGAGCAGCCCCCACCTCACCAGAGGTTGTAATTTATTCAGTTTGAGTTAGGAATGTTTGCAAGTGTCATCTACATAAATGATTCTACTATTTTGCTGAAAGGTAATCTGGATACCTTTATTGGTACACATTGCTAGGTTAATTGAGGAAAGACTACCCAG